TTTTTACAGAGTAATTAGTTAAGAGTATCGAAGACTACTTACGGGCATTTCAGGGCATTTCAGGAATCAAGGGCTCAGAAAAGGTTTTCGGGTCGAAGGGCTTTGGGGCCCAATTGCCAAGTTAAGCTTGCGAGAGTCACGTGATCGGCTCCGGTGGACATTCTGAGTCCCCCCTGGCATGGCGGAAGTGGCGGAGGACGCCCGAAATTCGTACGGATACTTTGAGGGGGTGTTGAGTTGCGTGTTCGGAAGGCTTTTTGGGGTTTAGGGTTCGAAGGCTTTCGATGGTTAAGGGCTGTGTTTTGGGGTTTCTAGGATATTCTAGGATTTTTTTCGTAGGTTCGGTGGTTGGGGTTTTGGGTTTGACGGGCACGCCGTCGGGCAGCCAAGTAGCAGTAGAAGTAGCATGGCCGCACGGCAGACTCTTCCAAGTGCATGGTGGAGATCGGGAGAGATCTTCGATTAAGCCGCATAAGCCCTACAAAGCCTGAACCTGAAACTGGGCAGTGGCTACCGGGATAGTCTTATTCGCACCAAAGAGGACCTTGCCGCAGTTTTGCCGCTGGCGAGAGAGGGGCGTGTACATGTCATGCAAAGAGAGGGGGTAGGCTGGCTGGAGGGGAAAGCGGGGGAGGAAGGGGAGAGGGAAGGGGAGGGGGAAGGGGAGGGGGAAGGGGAGGTTAAGGGGAGGGGGAAGGGGAGGGGGAAAGGGAGGGGGAAGGGGAGGGGGAAAGGGAGGGGGAAGGCGGGGGAAGGACTCTCATTGTCACTACAATACCCCAATTTCTATTCCTCCTCCCTCGCCTAGAGGAGGGAGCCTCGGCGGATTTCAGGAACCTGCCAAATCACTTTGCTGGTTACTGCAGTCCCTTTGAACCCTAAACCCCCAAAACCCCAAACCCTAATCCCTGCCGTGCAGGAAACTCTGCAGGGCGAAGCATTGAGCTCCAGCTGCAAAGAACTGAAGCCAAACCCGAAGCCCTTCAATCGTTCGCAGGATTTTGCGGATCTACAATGTTGAACGGGCTTATCGTTTCGTGGGTTTCGTGTTGTTTCTCTCTCGGTTTTTCTGAAATAGGTTGTCAGGGATTTACACGAAATACCTCTTGGCATGAGTGGCTCACCAGGTTCGGGGTGTTTTTTTTTTGTTTTTCTTGTGCAGCGTCTTTGGGCTTTAGGGTTTCATTGGTTTAGGGCTTTCTGGGGTCAGGGTTTTGCGGGTTTTGCAGAGGGCCTTTGTGTTTTGGGGGGGGGGGGGGGGGGGGGGGGGGGGGGGGGGGTTGGGCCATTGAGGTTGGGGATTTTGGTGATGGGGGCTTACGTTTTTTTGTTTGAAGGCTCAGGGTTTTCGATCTTCGGTCCGTCTTAAGGGGTATAGGGAGGGACCCTGAGCAGTGGCCCTTGAATTCTTCCCCTATATATCCTGTTGAACCGAAAACCCTCTCACACCAAAATCCTGAACCCCAAGACGCTTAATCTAAACACCTTAGTAAACCCCCAAACACCCGAAAACCCTGAGCCTGAACAACCCTAAACCCTAAACCCTGCACCCTCCAAGGCAGGACGCTGCCGAGGCAGACGTGGACTATGGGGATCGGCCGGAGCTTCCCTTTGATCCGCCCGAGGCAGGCTTCAGCCGGCAGGTTGAGGGTTGGTTTAGGGTTTAGGGTTTAGGGTTTAGGGTTTAGGGTTTAGGGTTTAGGGTTTAGGGTTTAGGGTTTAGGGTTTAGGGTTTAGGGTTTAGGGTTTAGGGTTTAGGGTTTAGGGCTTTCAGGGGAGGTTTTTAGGGTTTTTTTTTTGGGATGTTCCCCCTGATTCTAAACAGTCCTTAAGCGGGATTATAGCATCCACTTTTGTAATGCCTATGAAGGACTGTTAGTATAAGGGGGAAGACGTCAAGTTTAGGGTTTAGGGGCGCTTTGTAGGGGGGGATGACAAGGCCCTCATAGCCCATCCTGGTAGCGTCTGGAGTAGGGCTTCTTGTTTGGTAGGTTCAGTTTATTACAGGCTCTTCTGAGATACCGATGATGACGGACAATTCGGGGCCACAAGGGCCCATCATCTGGAGAACGCCCTGCTGCTTTGTGAACCCTAAACCCTAAACCCTAAACTCTAAACCCTAAACCCTAAACCCCAAACCCGCTACTGCTTTGTGAGAGCTTTGACAGAGTCGGGTCTGATGAGTCCTCAAGCCCCCTCTTCTCCCCAACGCTCAGCCCCACACCCTACAAACCCTAAATCCCACAAACCCTAAACCCAATAAGCCCTAAACTGCATGAACCCAAAACACCCAGAAGCCCTAAACATTATACCCCCCCAAACCCTATACACCCAGAATCTCAAAACCCTCTAAGCCCTCCTGAACGCCCTAAAGCCCAAACCCTCAACCCCAAAGACGTTCCAGGCCCTAAATCATACACACCACCCTAAACCCTCCACACTCCCTAGACCCGAGACCCTAATCCCTAAACCCGAAACCCTAAACCCTAAACGCTAAACCTCAACACGGCATCCGCTGGCCCGACGACACAGGAAGTGCAGCAGCTCCTCCGACCGCAGGACTGGGATGCCAGGGCCTGAACGCCTGGGGTTTGTAGAGTTTGGGGTTTCGGGTTTAGGGTTTCGGGTCTGGGGTGTAGGGTTTGTAGAGTTGGGTTTAGGGGTTGTAGAGTTTGGGGTTTAGGCTTTAGGGTTTAGGGGTTGTAGAGTTTGGGGTTTAGGCTTGAGGGTTTGCAGAGTTTGGGGTTTGGGGTTTAGGGTTTGGGGTTTAGGGTTGGCAGAGTTTGGGGTTTCGGGTTTAGGGTTTAGGGTTTAGGGTTTGGACACTCGACCATTCCAGCACCCTGCCTACTGGCCAGTTTTAGTTGAGGGCCTTGGGGGTTTGAAGATGCTGTTTCCTCTTGGGGGGAGATCCCTGGTAAAAAACAAAACACGGACGGCCCCTTAGAGAAGTGTTCTACTTCCTCAGCCCTTAACCCTGAACCCTAAAACCCACAACCCCAAACCCTACACCCTCAAACCTAAATCCTAAACCCTAAACCCTCAAACCTAAACCCTCAATCCTCGAACCTAAACCCTCAACCCTCAACCCTAAACCCTCAACCCTCAACCCTCAACCCTGTACCCTAACCGCCAGAGCCAACTGAGGCACTTGCCCAGGCCTGGCAGGCCGCCGAGGCCACGTGGATCCTTTGCTAGCGTTTAGGGCTTAGGGTTTAGGGTGTAGGGCTTAGGGCTTAGGGTTTCTCTAGGCTTGAAGGCTTTAACGTTCTTGGAAGGTTCTTGTTTAGCAGGGGGGAACGGGTTGAGAGCGAGGTCTCCCGCGATGCAGCAAGAGCCTTCTCTCAGAAGACTGCAGTTTTACCTCCACCAGGAAATTACCCTCACCCAAAATCAGGCCCGATAAATAGCCCTGAAATGCGCCTTATTATTTAGCCCTGGGGTTGGGGGCCGTTGAGGTGGCTAGAATTGGATCCCATGCGTTCAGCGGCTGAATGCGCCCAGTAGGCCAGTGAATGCCCGTCTGCAAGCGATCATAGGCAGAAACGCAGCTTTTTCAGTGTGACAGTTCTCCTTAAACAGGGCCCCCCAAAAGGCCACTTGATTTGGATCAATGGCCATGTGAGACATGAGATCCTCAGTGTGGGGTGGCAGTCTTACCAGCACGTCCGCAGTTTGCGGTTTGTGGGATTACTTGGAGGTTCATGGTACTTAGTAGCTAATTATAACTGTACTTATAACCCACGACAAGCCCCTTAAGTGCTCTAATATGGTTAGAAGTACAGGTATAAGTATAGCTACTATGTACCATGAACTCCAAGTAGGTTTCAGGATTAGGACGGAGATTGCATCTTGGAGCTGTTCTTCCAACCGGCTTCCTTCCCGCAAGCCCCCAAGCTCGAGTGGGCCCATCAACTCTACTTGGAGGCGCATGGCACTTATAGTTCCAATGAGAACTGTACTTGTAAGCCCCCCTCGGTAGGTTCTAGGTAGACTTAGAATTGGGTACTTGTAACCTTATATGAACCTCCAAGTAGGCACACGTCCTGCACGCCAGGCGCGGACAGCAGCGTGGCAGTCGCTTGGCCAAGGCACGCTCCCCACGCAGAGGAATCTGTGTGGTTTTCAAGTACTTGCGTCTTGCATCCTCTTGCGTAGTAAATAATTGCTTGTAGTCCCATCCCATGTTCAATGACCCAAAACCTTAAACCTGAAAATCCCAGCTCTACATAATCGTGCGACTTGTGGGACGACATCGCCACTGGCCCGCAGTACAAATGCGTGCTACTTCTTGTCGTCGATAGCTCTGAATGCTCCAGTACGGCACGATGCTACTTTCATAACACGCACCCTTTCAGGAGTAAAGCTGCAGAGGTTTCCCGGACTATGTATATGTATATGTGTTTTGTAAATAAAATAAAATGAAATAGTATAACGTAATATAGTACAATATAATATAATATACTATCATATCATATCATATAACATATATATATGTATATATGTCTATATCTAATATACATAATATAATATACCTCTTTTTCACTTGGTTTCGCACTGCTTGGAGGCCTGGGCCCAGGAGCCTGGCAGGAGAAGCATTGGCTGCTGCTTGCAGAGCTTTCGGGCTTGGGTGGGCGCGAGCATCCCCCAATGGCCCAATGGCGGGGGGGGGGGAATCAGGCCCTAAACCCTCAACCCTCAACCCTCAACCCTAAACCCTAAACCCGAAACCCTAAACCCTAAACTTATTCAGTTCAAGCCATAGGGCCGTTGGAGCCCACCCTTCAATTCGCTGTGGGGTTAGACTTGCATAGTACGTAGGGTTTCAGGGTTTAGGGTTTAGGGTTTAGGGCTTTTGCCTGAAGATCGCAAGATCTCCCAAGCGAAGCTCTCTTGTGTTGCCTCGACATTTCGTGACAGCTGGAAACAACAGCTTCTGTGACGTGAGTGGTACAGGCCCAAAGAGCAGACTTGTATCAGACCGGCGCAGCTATCTACCCATGGCTTTCGTGCAGGCGCGCCTGCCACGTTTGCCAGCGGTGTTCATCACCCTCGATGATCGCCATGACGCATCTCCCGCGCAGCGGACTCTGCAGCGCTCGAGGAGCTTCTCCGGCTACACGCCCTTCGAGCTCAGCGCCCCGGATGCCAGCTTCGATCGGGACTCCACTGGGGAAGCTTCCGAGACGCCGGCTTGGCCGGACACGGACGAGGAGCCAGAGGTACCTTAGGGATACTTGGAAATGATTTTCTTAATCTTTCGGCAATTAAATCCCTAAGAAACAGCCTAAAATTGCAGTTTCTGCTGGGGCTCAAGTTCTAGTTTTTGCTGGGGTTCCAAGTTCAGTAGAGGTACCATCCGCCTTCATCGCCCCGGGTCCGCTTGTCGGCGAGAGCAACATTGAGCAAGGCGTCCCGGTGTTGGGTGGCCCATTGCTCACACCGCTCGCCCCGCGTGTCGCGGAACGCGTCATTGACATGATGGGAGGAGATCCTGGTCCAGCAGGGCATCTTGCCCTTCCAGCTCCAGCCGTGGGCCAAGTGCACTGGATGTCGTTCGGGCCAGCACAGCCGAGCACGTGGACTTGCAGCCCAGCGCGGGACACGTCGGCGCAAATTCTGAGGGCCCAGCGAATTGGCGCGGTGGCCTTGCGAAATGCTCGAGCCATGATGCCCGCAGTGGATGTGCAACCTACAGCTCAGCGAAAGAACCCCCAACGACGCCGTAAGGCCAAGATGCGCGGTGAGGCCTGAGGAGCCGATACCAGGACGGGGAAAAAATACCCTCTAACCCCTTAAAAATGGCCCTGTATAGAGTTGGTTATGGGGATAAGAGGGCCTAATAGCCCATCCTGGTACCCGATGTGTTGGTCGAGTTGCTGCGACTTGGGGTGGCTGTTGATTTGGGCGCCTCTGCGACCATTGAAAGAACCCTCAGAGCGTCGGAAGAACCTGCACAAAACCTCAGAAACCCCGCAGAAGCAAATTCGCAGAACTCCCGACACAACATCTTGTCCAATGAGGGTATTCATAGGTCGGAGACTCTGCGCCCCCCCAGTTCCATTTGACAGCCCGTCATGAGCGCCACAATGTGAGCTCGAAGAAGGATGTGAGGAGTTCTTTGGCAAAATTCCTGCTGTATCCGTGCGGTCAGCATGGCAATGCCTGACTAATTTAAAGATATGCATCAGCGAGATATTGTTCACGAAACTTGTGCAACGACATCTCGACCTTTCTGGTTGCGGCAGTTTTCTCAGCTCTTGGTGACGAATGTTGGCAGTACTAGTAGCTGGTCGAAGACGCTCGTGTTGTGCACCTCGCGTCATCGAGATCTGAGATCTCGGCTGCCGCCGCCTTTGGATGAACGCTCGGGCATGCGATCATTGTCACGTGCCCGTTCGTCACTTAAAGTTGTCAATCAATCTTTCTGTGAATGTTGGAGATGCGCTTTACCAGTGGCTGGTATGCTACATATGCCGCTGGTGCGAAAAACATGCGAGTGCGAAGAATATCCACTCAGAGAACAGATACTATCAGTGAGCATCATTCCATGCATGTTCACACCATGCCGTACACCCGAGTTTGATGTTTGGACGGCTGTCTCTGAGCTTGTACAGTTCGTTGATGAGGACTTGTTGACATGACTCCAAAATCAGTCATTGTTGTTGCTGCCAATGCTGGCGTAGTGCACAGGGCAATGTAGCTTACAGGATTCATCCCCCCTACCAAGCCCCAAAACAGAGGTACAGCCCCTGCTTTTCGTCAAGCGTTCGGGTCCACGGAACTATGGGATTTAGGGTTTGGTTTTGGTGTAGGGTTTACAGGGTTAGGGTTCAGGGTTATTGGTCTGCCGCTCGCACCGCCATCGTTGCAAGCTGCCTGCTGGGCGAAGAATGTCGTGCTCACGTCACAAGCTGTGACGTGGAGAAATGGCCTTTGAGCAAGATAGTGCCCTGTGATGTCCTGTGCCCAACCATGGTTTAGGGTTCAGGGTTTAATTAGGGTTTGGGGTTTACTTTGCATGTGAGTCAGTGCGGCTTTGAAGTACACCCGCGCGGTGGCACTGTCGGTACAGTACTTGTATGAGACTTCGGTCGTGGGTAGACTGGCCCACCCTAAAACCTAAACCTTAAACCCTAAACCTTAAACCCAAAACCCTCACCCTAAACCCTAAGCCCAAAATCGTGCCAGGCTGCCCAGTGCACGATAAAGAGAATACGCTTTGTAGCGAGCTTCGGGAAGAAAGCATCCGCCGGAATTGCTTGACATGGGTCCGTTCAGGTTGTTTGCAAGGCTTGTGACTGGTGATCTTGAAAAAGTTGCAGTTTTCAGAGCTTTGTTGAGGATAACCCTGTAAGGCTCTTCACGCTAGTGTACATATTTGCGAAGTTCCTGTCGTTTTTGGGAAAACCTTGCGCAGAGCAAGCGGCAATGTTGACTTTACCCTGCCGAGTTGTGAGATCTTTCCATCGTGTCTCCCGACATGCGAATGAAGAAGCCATCCCTTTCACACAGCCCCTGTTCCTCGGTGCTGGGGGCTAGACGCAGGACTCCGACGGCGAGAGGCACCTCTTCGACAATATTTGGGTGCGTTTCCGTATGTATGTCCTTGAAGCTACCCTTGATTCCCTGGCAGCAGCTGCGTGCGCAATTTGCATGAAAGCCTATTTGTGGAGCTGAGTTGCCTGAAAATAGCAAACACGGCCAAGGGGCGCCCAAACTGCGAGCCCTGAACCTAAACCCTAAACCCAAAACCCTAAACCGCCGTAGTCTTTTTGCCGAGGTTTGTGGAGGCTTGCTCTGCGCCTCCTGAGAAGAAGAAACGCAGACCTAAGTGGAAAGAGGCACGGCGATGCAGATTCATGTGAGGGTTTAGGGTTTAGGGTTTAGGGTTTAGGGTTTAGGGTTTAGGGTTTAGGGTTTAGGGTTCAGGGTTTAGGGTTTAGGGTTTAGGGCAAAGCCCAAAAAGACTCCCGACGGAACTGCTGCAAGATTCAAGCGAGCAAAGAGTACTTGTAGCATGAGCATACCTACATATCGCTAGTGAAAAACAAACATAAACAAACTGGTATTTTTCGGAGTACTAAACCCTAAACCCTAAACCCTAAACCCTAAACCCTAAACCCTAAACCCTAAACCCTAAACCCTAAACCCTAAACCCTTGGAGTGCCAACAGCCGAAGATGATGCTGCTGCGTCCGCTGATGTTCAGACCCCAGGGCAGCCCTAAACCCTATAAAGCATACACGCCCGATAAGCCCTGACAACCCCAGTTAAACCCTAAACCCCAGTTAAACCCCAAACCCCAAACCCCTAACCCCAAACGTCAAACCCCAAACCCCAAGCCCGAAGCCCGAAAAACCCTAAACCCCAAACCCCAAACCCCAAACCCTAGACCCTAAACCCTAAACCCTAAACCCCACGAACTCTGTAAACCTTGAAGATGATGGCAGGACTGGAGCTTGATCGGCTCGGACAGCCGGCGCCCGGCGCCCCTGCGAAGGCATCCCGGGGATGGTGGTTTCAGAGGTTTCAGGGGTTTAGGGTTTAGGGTTTAGGGCTAGGGTTTAGGGTTTAGGGTTTAGGGTATAGGGTATAGGGTTTAGGGTTTAGGGTTTAGGGTTTAGGGTTTAGGGTTTAGGGTTGAATCATCATCATCCTCGACGTCGTCATCATGATCATCACCATCATCATCATCATCAGTATCATGAGGTCTCAGAGGTGGTAGTACAGCGGAAGGGTCTGAAATCCATGATTGGGGCAATTTGAAGACGGCTTGGAGTGTGTTATGGAGGCTTTCACAAGGATCGATGACCTGGGTTTTAACACGAGTCTGACAGTCCGGGTCAGGGTTTGGGGTTTGGGGTTTGGGGTTTAGGGTTCTTTCAAGGGTTTAGGGTCTGAAGCATGGCGGGCACAGGTAGCGAAAGCTGAAGACAGCTTGAGATGAATCTCGAAGCATGACAAGGTACTTCGACTCCGTTCCCGCAGAGACGCGGCCACCCGTTGAGGAGCCAGCTTTCCGAACTTTCGCGGGTTGAGGGCTTTTCGGTATAGGGTTTAGGGTTTCGGGTTTCGGGGTTTCGTCACGTTTGCTTCGCTGGTAAGGGGGAATGGTAACACATGTTGGAGCGACCAACAGGTTGCCAGCCCCAAACCCTGTAAACCTAGTCCCCCTGGTTCGTCGTACGGAATGAGTGAATTAGGCCCCTACATATACCCTTTAAGGGACTATACAGGGGAACCCAGTCCCTCCTTCCCTACTCAGAACCAGCCAGTAATCAGTCTTCTTCCCACCTTTGCCTCAGCCCGTGCGGCCTGATATGCGGCGATTGGAGCCGAACGCCAGCTTCCCAGCTGCCGCCCCGTTGCCTCCCATCATGCGAAGCAGGGTTTATATTGCTGCTATTGGTGAGTGTATGTAAGGCTTATAAGGTTACCTTTTTACATTGGTGAGAGTATATATTGGGTGTCCTTTTGGGGATACAAGGAATGTAAACCATCCTTCATGTGGGCCTCCGGCCATGCTTCAGTAGCTCGGAGCAGTAACTCGCCATTTCTGTTGAGAGCAGGCAATGTAAACCCTGAGCCCACAAAATCTCAGAAACGTATGGCCCTAAGCTTACCCGAATCCCTACACTTATACCCCAAACACTAAGAGGCCCAAAGCGCAAAGGTGCAGCTATGAAGCCAAAACCCCAACGCCATACATCCGCAAAGCCCAAAGCCGTGAAAATCCTAAGCCATGTTAAAGCCCTGTCCCCCTCAAGCCACAATACCCCTTCCTTCAGGAAGATTCCTCAATTTATATCAGGTTCCTGTTTATGGGGGCGCAACGGTCTTTTCCTGAAGGGGAATTGGGCTCATTGGGGGTTATATAGGGTTTAGGGTTCGGGTTTCGGGTTTAGGGTTTAGGGTTTAGGGTTTAGGGTTTAGGGTTTAGGGGTCCTTCATTAAGGGGTGGTGGGCACTTCTGGGCCCCCCTCTGCCGCTCCCAGCCTCGCTTCGTGGAAGACGACCGCTTCGAAGCGCTGGCAGGGGCCTCACGGGTTTAGTTTAGGGTTTGGGTTTAGGGTTTAGGGTTTAGGGTTTAGGGTTTAGGGTTTAGGGTTTAGGGTTTAGGGTTTAGGGTTTAGGGTTTAGGGTTTAGGGTTTAGGGTTTTTGGACAGTTTAGGACTTGGAAGGCCGAGGCCTAGTTGTGCTGGTTTTGTCATGATGGGGGCGGCGAGGAGGGTTTCTTCGGGGGGAGGCGGAGGGGTTTCGTGCCTTGGGCGTTCCTTAGTTGTAGAGTAGGTAACCTGTAACCTGTTTTGGGGTAAGAGAGTCTCCCTACAATTGCAAGGGTTAACCTTCAGTTGCCCTAGGTACTGGAACAACTGTGGTTCTAGGTTTTGATTCTTGTCTAGGTACAGTTGCGGACTGAGGAGTTGGAGGTTTTCTGAGGGCTACGCACTGCTTAGGGTTTAGGGTTAGGGTTTAGGGTTTAGGGTTTAGGGTTTAGGGTTTAGGGTTTAGGGTTTAGGGTTTAGGGTTTAGGGTTTAGGGTTTAGGGTTTAGGCCGGAGGAGCATACCATTTTGCTCCTTGCTCGTTCGGTCGGACTATCGGACACGATTTCCCCATCCCAAAGGTTCCAGGGCTTAGGGTTTAGGGTTTAGGTTTTAGGGTTTAGGGTTTCATAAATCCAAAGTGGTCGGGCCACCTGTGTGCATTTTGTAGTTTCCCTTATTGGATCTAAGAGGATCATATTCATGAATATTGCTCAGAGGGTTCTAAGGGCCATCTCCTAGATACCCTGAACCCTAAACCCTAAACCCTAAACTAAACCCTAAACCCTAAACCCTAAACCCTAAACCTAAACCCTAAACCCTAAACCCTAAATCTCTTGCCCAGTTGTACGGCAACGGCTGGCTGGACTGCTGGGGCCAGCTCGGCTCAACGGACAACGACTCGCTGCATCCACATCTGAGGCAGGTCGGAGAAGGAAGGGCGGGTCCTCTTCATTCTTTCTGTTGCTTAGTAGGGAATGAGGAATCCTTGAAAGGGTGTATATAGGGTGCCCAAATTCCCTCATTCCCTGCTAAACAACAGTAAGCATTGCGGAATCAGCTCTTAGTGTTCTCTCTCAGCCTCTGTTTCTGGCTCTGTCTCTGGCTCTTCTTGCCTCCTTGCTGCAAGCCTTGGCTGCTACATGCAAAGCCCGTCATCCCTGCTGATCAGGCATATGTTTGACAAGCGCGGCATCGAAGCCCACTGCTCAGCTCGTCTTTGTCATAGTTGGGTAACATTTTACACTTTTAAGGGTACATAAACCCAGTAGGGAACAAATCAAATTGTTCATATTTTCCCAACCATGAACTAGACATGTGCATGGCAGCGACAACGTGCCAGTCGTAGGCAGAATTTCAGTTTCACGACTGCAGCATTGGGCAAGGATGGCCCTAAGGTGCTTGTAAGCTATACCCGAGGCGCTGAGCAGAAATGCAGCACGACAGCTTAGGGTTTAGGGTTTAGGGTTTAGGGCTCTGGCTACCAAGTCCTCATACCGACAGCGTCCAACGGCGGATCACCCGTGGCTGCAGACACTGGCAGCGCGGACACCCGGGCGGCCCTCACCGAGGCCCTCGTTGGGGCGCTTCCACCTCTGCCTTCGCCCTAAACCCTAAACCCTAAACCCTAAACCCTAAACCCTAAACCCACAAGTTGCAAGGCAAGGCTCCACAAGGCGCAAAATACAACCCAATCCAGGCGAAGCACCCAAGCTGTTTTAGGCGTATTAGGGTTTAGGTTTAGGGTTTAGGGTTTAGGGTTTAGGGTTTAGGGTTTCGGGTTTAAGGTTTAGGGCTCTCTATGGCTCTGCTTGCCAGGACTCTGAAGCAGCGTATCATTTGCCGGGCCACCGCCCAGGACTGCTTGAAGATGTAGGTTGGTTTAGGGTTTAGGGTTTAGGGCTTAGGGCTTAGGGCTTAGGAGTATGTATGAGGAAAGTCCTCAAACAACCTATCACACCAAGCAAGAAGGCCGGAGCATGTGTCAGATGCAGCTGATGTGGAGGCTAGGATGCGATTGATCTTGCGCTAACCCTGCTGTCTGTTTCAAGGGGACCTAGTGTCGAGAAGCAACCCAAATGCGAAGCCCTGCAACCCCAAACCCTAACATCTGAGTATGATTTGCCTGAGACCCTAAAGCCTGGACTCCAACATCCCTTGCGAAAGTTTTCCTCAAATCGCACATGCTAAGTAATGAACACCCCCCCCCCCCCCCCAGATTCACGGAGATTCTGGGAGGATGATGCAGTATTCCTACACCCTATAACCCTAAAACCCTGAAACCCTAAAACCCTCAAACCCTAAAACCCTAAAACACCCTAGACCCCCAGTCCCGCTAAGCCCAAGACCCCTGATGCATCCTGCACGCAGAAGCCGCCTCCCGATCCTTCTGAGCCTGCCCAGAGCATCCCATGGGGCGTCAGGCTGGTCTTTGGCTTGTCTTGGTGTTGTGGAGTGGCAGGGTTTAGGGTTTAGGCTTTTATGAGGTTTAGGGTTTAGGGTTTAGGGTTTAGTGGCACAGGTTCGGGGGTTTTTTGAGCGGTCAGCTGCGCTTGGTTTGGAGGGCTTGTGCTCCCCAGGTGCCTGCGGTATGGTGCTGACTTCCAGGCTCGGTTCCATGATTTCGGGGTATAAGGAGGGGTTTAGGGTTTAGGGTTTAGGGTTTAGGGTTTAGGGTTTAGGGTTTAGGGTTTAGGGTTTAGGGTTTAGGGTTTAGGGGTACAAGCAGGGACCCCTGGAAGGGACACTTGGTCTTACTCGCCTATATGCTGGCGCATGTGTGTATATATATATGCCTTATATAGTCCCTATAAACCTGAGTAGCCCCTAGATATATAACCCTTAAATCACCCCAAAGGTCCCTTGTAAGAGTCCCTCCTTTAGTGTGTTGACATGATTTTCCTGATGGAGCTAGGTGTCAGCGCGAGAGTCAAGCATGGCAGGGATAGCGGGCGCAGGCAGCTGCAGGGAATGGTAGCCCTAAACCCTAAACCCTAAACCCTGAACCCTGAACCCTAAACCCTAAACCCTAAACCCTAAACCCTAACACCCGCAAGCAGGAGTTCGAAGCGAGGACGTGGAAGCAGAGCCATAGATTCAAGTTGCGTGATACTAAGACTTAGCGATCTCCTCACCGCGGGTCCCTGAGCCTAAGCCCTAAACCCTAAGACCCTAAACCCTAAACCCTAAACCCTGACGAACCCCAACTCCTCCACCACCGATGGGCCAGGCCCACCGCAGTTTGCCCAAACACGAGAAGATTCCGTGGGTCTACGACCACAATCGCAGGCCTGCCATGGGTCAGGTCCTGGATTAGGAGCTCATTTGAGTTTGAGGGTTTAGGGTTTAGGGTTTAGGGTTTAGGGTTTAGGGTTCAGGGGGTGTCAAGATTCAAGATAAAGCTTGCAAACATGGCTCCCCCGGCTGCTTTCATAGGCAGAAGTGTCAAGAGAGTCAAGAACTCCAGCCTGCCCAAACCGAAAACAGGTTTAGGGTTTAGGGTTTGGGGTCTAGGGTTTAGGGTTTAGGGTCTAGGGTTTAGGGTTTAGGGTATCCCTTCTTGCGGGTTTCCTCTCTTGCAGAAAGGAGTTTTATCTTTTTGTGGGGCGTACTGGGGGCACCCCCTCGTTTGGGAAATGCCCATCTGTGCAGCCGGTGCAGCAAGCTTGCTTCCGAGATATGCCGTCGAGGTAAAAGAGCTACAGCTCCTCCGCCCTGTGTTGAAGCTATTTGTTGGACTTGGTCATGGAGAGGGCCAATGTACAGCTGCTTGATCTGTCGTGTGGTGCTGTCTTAGTGGAACCCTAAACCCTAAACCCTCAACCCCTATACCAAAAAACCCTAAACCCTCAACCCTAAACCCTCAACCCTTATACCCTAAACCCTAAACCCTAAACCCTCAACCCCTTAATTCCCTGAACTCGAAACCCCTCCTGCTGCGCAGTGAATCGGAAGACAACACGGTGATGAACCCGATCTTGAGGCGACGCCCCCAGCTACTGGAGGCACAAATCCAGGGAAGCCGTGGCTGGCTTTTATGAGGTTTAGGGTTTAGGGTTTAGGGTTTAGGGTTCAGGGTTTAGGGTTTAGGGTTTAGGGTTTAGGGTTTAGGGTTTAGGGTTTAGGGTTTAGGGTCGGGTGTCGGAAGGCAAAAATCCGGTCATTCAACCCTGTATCCTGAGGCATTACTTCGACCAAGATGGCATCGAGTCCTCCTTCAGGCCTCCCGCTTTCTGAGTCTCGACACCGTGCAGCATCACCGTGTGCAGGAAGTGGGCTAGCAGACGTCCGTGTGGCTGTTTCCCAAATTAGGGGGGCCCTTTTCTACACCAAAAAGTATAGACCCCCCTTAAAGGGACCCCCCAAGAAAGGGTACCCCTATTTCCGGTTCTCTACACCAAAAAGTATAGACCCCCCTTAAAGGGACCCCCCAAGAAAGGGTACCCCTATTTCCGGAAACCCCCCCCTGTCGCTTCAGAGCTCGACTTCCCCCCAAGTTCTTTGCAGGAACCGTGGACGCCAGTTCGGTCGACCGGTGAAGTCCGTCTTCGGCCGCGAGTTGACGGGGACTCGGGGGGCACCGCAGGTTTAGGGTTTAGGGTTTAGGGTTTAGAGTTTAGGGTTTAGGGTTTAGGGTTTAGGGTTTAATTAGGGTCTTTCACGTAGTCTGACAACAAAGCTGCGACAGGTGGCATGCAAAGACTACAGAAGGGCTGGAACGCGAAATCCCAGCTGGTGCTTTTAGGGTTTGTTTAGGGTTTAGGGTTTGGGGTTTGGGGTTTAGGTTTAGGGTTTAGGGTTTAGGGTTTAGGGTTTAGGGTTTAGGGTTTAGAGTTTAGGGTCTTCATCACAGCCTAAGATCTACAAAGCCTCAACGTGGCTTTCACAGCTGCAATGCCGCTTGCATAAGCCAACCTTGCGCACCCAGCCTTCTTTCGGCATCCGAAGTGTCCCTTCCGGGTAGTTCTCTAAATAAGGGTTACTTTTTGGGTTCTTTCTGTTATGGGTGCCGTACTATTATATATATATATATATATATATTTTTTTTTACTGGTCCCAAAAATTCAAATTAGACCCTAATTTAGAGATCTAGCCTTATTTTTCAAGGACATCGCTCCTAAACCCTAAGCCGTAAACCCTAAACCCTAAACCCTAACAGTTGAAGACATGCCACGGAGTGGACTCGACCGCAAGAACCTTTTTCCCGCGGCCACCCGGAGGAGGAACGAACGCGCTAACTTAGGACACAGAGTTGGCCCTTATTGGGTTTAGGGTTTAGGGTTTGGCCCTTATTCCCTTTTTTAGGGCTTCGGTTCCTCACAAGCCCCTTTTAATTTAAGAGGGCGCCCTTTTATTCCTGGGTTACTCTTGGGTCTAGTAACCCTAAACCCCAATCCCCAAATGATCCGCATGCTTCTTCTCATTTGCATCCGCCAAGCAACTTGGAAAACAGGGGAAAGGGAGTTAGTTCATCGACTTTGCAAAGGTCTCTGGTTATAGGTAGCCGCGTGTTATTGATTGCAAGTGGCTATTCCTAACATTGATGGCCATCACTACTAGTTAGTAAGGCAATTGTTGTTGCTATTCTGAACCCCCCTAAACCCTAAACCCCAAACCCTAAACCCTAAACCCTAAACCCTAAACCCTAAACACGCTCGCCGCAAACATCTGCACCCCGGCCCAGTTCCAAGCCGAAGTTTGTCTCCTTAGCCTCGCTGAGCACGGCTGCAAGCAGCACTTCGCTCCAGGCCGGGCTACACCCAAACTCCAAGCCCTTAGGGGTGGTTTTGGGGTTTAGGGTTTAGGGTTTAGGGTTTAGGGTTTAGGGTTTAGGGTTTAGGGCTTCGGGTTGAGGGTTGAGGGTTTAGGGCTTAGGGTTTCACTTCGCCCTTATGGCCCTAAGCTGCATCGGGTTGGGAGTTTAGGGCCGAGGGCTTTGTAGTTTCGACGCTTCCCCCCTTCCATTTAAACAAGGGGGCGGAATAGTTTCCAACAGTCTTCCCTTACGGTCTCTACACATTTATACTAGAATATCACCCCCCGCAAAACCCTATTGAAGCTACTAGCAGTCCCTTATGGTCGCTATATAACTGTACTAGAATATCCCCCCCCATTAAAAAAACACACACACACACAAAACCTGCTGAAATTACTAAGGCCCCTATATTACTCATGATGCTCCGGGTTCTGGAAGCCAGTGGCTTGGAGCAGCAAGGCTACGGGCTTCAGGGCGTGGTTCATCTAGAGCCGAAGGAATTGAACTTTAAATCCCTTTACGGTTGCATTATATACATAAATATATATATATATTATACTATAGTACACACATATAAACATATATAAGAGAAACAACAAACAACATGCCCATCCGCAATGCCCCTAAAGCTTACAACTCCAATAAAGCCTCTGTTTCTTGGACCAACCCTTTGTGCCAGGCATCTCAGAGCCAACCTTCTCTTCGAAGCACGGCGCAGGCGCGGCGTGCGAGAGCAAGCTCGGGGTTTTCGGGGCTGAGGGGTGATGAGGGGAAGGCATTTTTGTTAATACACTTGCGGGCCAAATAGGGCCCAGAATTGGAACCTGAAGCTCTACCGCAAGTAGCGTCCTAGAAGGATGGAGACCCCAAAGTCCTCCTAGGACCAGAGCTGGAGCCCTAATAAGGAAGAAACCTGAATAGAGCCCAGAAGCAGCCTATAGCCTATATAGACTTAGACCAAAATCTAAGAATTACTCGACTTGTGTCGGGGGTGCCACACCTGCGTGTGAGTTTGGTGGCTGATGAGGAAGGGCGATGACTATCCCAGATTCTTATACCAGATGGTACAATGTTGTGATTAATACGTTGTGGTAAAGTAACTACAATATTGGTAGATAAAGCGCGATGTTGGAAGGTCGCTCGACCTGGTGCAGGAAAGAGTCGAGACAAGCGTTGAGTGGCGGCGTGTCACAGATCATGGACCACGACGTTGTCGAAGGATGGTGACTCAAGATGTTCCTGAAGAGAAGTTATCTTAGGTCCGTGATGCATCTCGTTCCTTTGGGTCAGTGTCCACACGTCTGAGCCTGCCCGCCCATCGAGTAGCCAGGAGAGATTGGACGTTGCCTGGAAGGTGTGCATGTATGGCTTGTGGCCCTATGACCCTAAACCCTAAACCCTAAACCCTAAACCCTAAACCCTAAACCCTAAACCCTAAACCCTAAACCCTAAACCCTAAACCCTACACCCTACACCCTACACCCTACACCCTACACCCTACACCCTACACCCTACACCCTACACCCTACACCCTATGCTGTGGACAGTGGCCTCGAACTGTTTATAACGTCGCTTCGCGTGCCTGTGGGGTTCGTGGTGCGTCTCTGGCATGGCCAAGCCATCCAGGAAGTTCAGTTGGCCCTAAGGGTCCATAATGTCCATAATGTACCCAAACAGCATCTACTTGGGCCCCAAAGCTACTATATGGGAACCCCTTTAAGGCCCAAGTGAATACTATCTAGGTACTTGGGCCCTTTGGGGCGGGAAAGGTGAGCCAACCAAGCTCTGATGCGAAGCAGGCGTCCAAGACGCTTGCGAGCAAAATGCAGGCACTGCGCCTGATGTCGAGCCATTCCAAGGTTGCTATCTACATAGTTTTGTTGTGTACTAGAGTACATATTGCTAGGCTATATTGTATCTCAATAGATTATAGTGTATTGTATTGTACGGTATTGTACTGATGACATTGTATTGTGTCTGGACGCACCTGGAAAGTTGCATTCCTGCCCGCGGCATCCGTATCAAGGCAAAGCATCAGGGGCACCAGCGGCACCAAAGTACGCAGTTTGATGGGGTAGTCATATTGTAATCATATTGTCATCATCCTGTAGTCACATGTAAGAATGTAAGAATGTCATTCTAAGGATACAACAAGAAGTCAGACCCGTCATACCAAATTGCAGGTTTAGATAAGCCAGGTCAAGAGGGCGGCCGCCGACACCCATGGGGTTTGGCCTGACTTGCTCATGGCCTCCTCCACGGAAGACAGGCTCAGTAGCTGAGTGAGTACACCTTACACTTTTTGGGATACTAGAATCCCCTATAGAATCTAGAACTGAAAGTGTACACCTTTTTTTTTTTGGGGGGGGGGGGGGGGGGGGGGCTTCTGAACTCAGCAACTGAAGACAGGCGAGAAGATGGTTCCACTCAGTCTGCACCGTCCTTGCACCCTGAGCTGCGCGCCTGGGCTCGGAAGTTCATGAGGGGGCTTCCGAAATTAGGGATACCTTATTGGGCCCTTGTTATCAGGGAATATGACTATTTGGGGCCCATTTTAGGGGTCCCTTATTTCTTAAATCCTCATGAGTCTGAAAAGATGGAACCACAAATGGGGGGTTTACGAAATTCGTACACCCCAAATAGTAGGATCCCCTTACAACAAGGACCCCAAGTAGGTAACCCCTATTTTCGTATTCTTCTTGGGTCTAGGCCCCTAAGCCTAACCCAAGAATCTGTGTGGGCTAGCAAGGCTTCGACGGTGTCTGCACTGGGGCACCTGCAGCCGTCGCTTTCTTTGGGGGTTTAGGGTGTAGCGTTTAGGTGGCTTAGGGGTTAAACCTGGTCCACACAACACAGCACAAGGTGCGCGACTACAGGCTTTGGCAAAGACGCTGGGCTGAGCATTCAGCATGGAACTCCCACACACAACCTTGAAATCTTGGATGAGCCTTATCTTGGGTAGAGGATAGTTGAGGTTTGGGGGGTGGGGTAGCAGAGGATTAGGCAGCCACGTGAGTTCCAGGTTCAGGGGTCTGCTCGAACATAGCGGAGCCGTCATAGGGTGCAACTCCCGGCCCCAGCAGCATGTTCGGGTTTCGGGCTTAGGGTATGTATGACGACCTTTATGCTGACGACTTGAACCACCACAACTATCACTAGCGCTAGCCCGGCTGCCGCGATCACCTGTCGTAATAGGTAATCACTTTGGGGTGGGTGTTTGGCGGCCTGATACATTTGGGTACTTCCCAGAATAGGGGTACCCCGTTTATACCCCAAATAGAGTAGAATCCCCTCAAAAAGGACCCCAAAAAGGGTGGCCCCAATTTTCGGAAACCCCCATTTCATTTGCTTGTACCTGACGAGTGATACCGGTGAAATCCTCTTCTGCCTAAACCCTAAACCCTAAACCCTAAACCCTAAACCCTAAACCCTAAACCCTAAACCCTAAACCCTAAACCCTAAACCCCTGAACCCCTGAACCCTGAACCCTAAACGCCTATGCCGCAGGGAGGAGCCTTCAGGAGAGGCAGTTCAAGCCGACAGCAAGATGGGAAAGAAGGCCAGGATCCCAACAGACTATAAGGGGTGGGAATAATTACTCACAGTATTCCCTTATGGTCACTATACTATAAAGAACCCCCCCACCCAGCCCCCCCCCCCCCCCAAAAAAAAAAAAAAAGAGAGAAACTATTGTAAGTAGTAAGGCCCCGAGTTGTTTTTGTTGAGCCATAGGAGCCATGGGAGTCATAGCAGTCAGATGCCGGAGTCTGATGAGGTCAAAGGAGGCTTGGACTCAGATGTCGACAGCCTCCTTCAACAGCTGGAGGCCGACTATCCCGGGTAGCTTGTGCTAGAAGGTTCCCGAGTAGTCGAGTATGCAACCTTTAACCTCTTTTGGGGGAACATAATCCCCTTGTAATCCTAAAGGCTAACCTTTAGTTACCCCAGGTTACTGGACAACTAAGGTTCGAAAACAGAGTTGGAGACCTGCAAGGGACATTGCCTGCGGCGTGGTGTGGCCGGAGTTGGCAGCCTCTTCAGCCCTCCGAGAAAGAGGGTTTAGGGTTTAGGGTTTAGGGTTTAGGGTTTAGGGTTGTTTAGGGGGGAGGCCCAAACGGATGCGACAGTGGCCAACTTCATGCGAGACCAGCTACTGCAGCTCCTGCACTTGGAGTCCATCCTTGGAACATATCGAGTCAGATGCTGTTGAAGCACACCCGCCGTCCCCATACAAACCCCAAAAACCCCAGAATTCCCAAAAACCTCTTAGCCCTATACACGAGGCCTAATAGGGTCCAGGGTTTAGGGTTCCGGGTTGAGGGTTTAGGCGTCTCTATAAACCATGTGAACCAACCCTATAAGCCCTAATCTCATTTAAGCCTTAGTCCCTGAGCCCTGAACCCTGAGCCCTGCCTGAACCCTGAACCCTGAACCCTTTTCTTCTTGGCAGGCCTTGGACTCCCGAAGCCAGGCGCTGCAGCGAGAGGACCGCAAGGACCACGCAAGGCTGGGTTGGGGCTTAGGAGCTTCGGGGTTCGTTTGGGGTTTCGGGTTTAGGGTGTAGGGTTTAGGGTGTAGGGTGTTTTGGGGGTGTTTGGGATAGGGGCTTAGGGTGTAGGGCACAAGGGTTCGGGATACAAGGCAAGTTGAGGGTGGTTTTGGGGAGGGATTTTGAGGAATTCTGTTGGGGAGTGCAAGACCAGATGAATCGGACCTGTGGCGAGGCCCGGGGATTAGGGTGGGGGGGAGCCCCCGACCTTCTTAGCCAGGTCACTCTCAGCCAAACGGGGCTTTCGAGAGCAGTGTTGCGAGCAACAACGAGCTAAGCTATTCAAAGCTTGAGATCAATGAGTGAAGTTCGGTGGCGAATCATTGGCTATTTCCCGGAAGGTGTAGGGACCCCCAACCTAAAGGACCCAAACCCTCAACCAAGCTTGCCTTGCCACGGAGGTGGCGCAAAGATGACCAGACGGAGGGCAAGGGCAAAGCCGAATCAGTTGCGGGGAAGGGCAAGGAGTGGATGCCCTAAACCCTAAACCCTAAACCCTAAGAGTTGCAGGCCTCGAGGCTTCAGGGTTTGGGCGCTCGGGTTCTGAGTTCAAGGCTTTGAGTTTTTGTTAGGGGTTTAGGGTTTTGGGTTTAGGGTTTAGGGTTTAGGGTTTAGGGTTTAGGGTTTTTGTTAGGGGTTTAGGGTTTTGGGTTTAAGGCTTCAGGGTTGGAGTTGAAGGTTTTCACACTCCGGTTGCACTTGTGCCGAAGAGAGCATGGGACTACTAACTTGGTCATAGTTAGTTGGGTATCATTTTACATGTTTTCAGGATACTTAAACCCAACAAGGAATATCAATTTACATGACCCTAAACCCTAAGCCCTAAACCCTAAACCCTGAACCCTGAACCCTGAACCCTGAACCATAAAATGAACTAGCTAAGGGGAAGAGTAGGGATGCACGTTCTGTTTTTCTACGGACACTCCTACAGGATGCCTGACTGAAACCTGCATCCTCAGGGGTTTAGGGTTTAGGGTTTAGGGTTTAGGGTTTAGGGGTAGTTTTTTCTGGGGATTTTATGTCAGGAGGCGCCCGTTGCTGCGGCTGCCTTGCGGCATCCCCTTCAAGCAGTCGAGTTGGTGCCAGGACCGGGCGGCCGCAGTGGCCTTGAAGCCTCGCGGTTCTAAGCGTAGTTTAGGGTTTAGGGTTTAGGGTTGAATTAGGGTTTAGGGTTTAGGGTTTAGGGTTTAGGGTTTAGGGTTTAGGGTTTAGGGTTTAGGGTTTAGGGCCCTTAATATGGTTTAATATGGTCCCTTGCCTTTAACGAAAGTGTTCTGAAGTTTGGGCCCTTAACTTGCACAGGGTATATAAGGTGTATCTAAGGGGGTCCCCTTTTAAGGGCAAATACTAAGGACCATGTAACTACTCTAAGAGCTATGGAATCGGCCAGGAGTCCTCTACAGCCGAAGCCACAAACTTGAAACCTGCAGAGCCGGTCTTTAGGGCTTAGGAGTTTGGAGTGTAGGGCGTTGGGTTTAGGGTTTAGGGTTTAGGAGTTTGGAGTGTAGGGCGTAGGCGTAGGATTTAGGGTTTAGGGTCATCCTGTCCTTGAAACATCTCCGTGCGCCCTAAGCTCTGAACCCTAGATTGGGTGCCATATGTCCCCTAGTACAAACCCCTAACCCTGTAGTTAAAGGGGTTCGACCCTTCGCCGGTTGTGACGAATGGAGAGGAGGCGATCGGGACGTCCGTCTGCGTGCGCAGAAGAAGCGCGCAGATCCAAGGAGTTTGGCTGGTTTAGGGTTTAGGGTTTAGGGTTGAGGGTTTAGGGTTTAGGGTTTAGGGTTGAGTTTCTTTCTCAGGGTTTGGGGCAAGGGGTAGGATGTTCCCCGTTATACTAAGAGTCCTGAATAGGGATTAGAGTAGGGGTACTATCATCCCTACCAAGGACTGTTAGTAGAAGGGGGAACATCCCAAGGTGAGGGCATTCTAGGGTCAAGGGTTTGAGATTTAGGGAAGGAAGCTGCTGGCTAGCAGCAAGCGACTTGAATCATGCCACTCCAAACCCCATCCTAAACCCTAAATCCTAAACCCTAAGCCCTCTGGCCACACCATCCAAAAGCTGCGAAAGAGATGGTTACGATTTACCTTCGCTTTGGTGGGAGACTTTGTAGTTTCCCTTATTGGGTTGAATATTTTTTCTCCGAGGGTTCTAAGGGCCATCCTAGTAGCTGATGCAAAAGCTGATGCTTGCCCGATGAAGTCAGACATGCAGGACGGCACCATTTCCCTCAGGCAGCGTCGTGGCGCTGCCGCCACTGAAGGCGGGCGCCTCCTTTGTGGCTCAAGCCTTGTCTGAGTAGTGGTTTAGGCACAGTCGTCGCGTAGAGGCAGAACATGGAAGTGACAACTTGTCGAGGTTCCCCGATCCTGTGAATCTTGAGTGGGGGTATTGCACCGGATTCGTTTTTGTGTCAAGGACGGTCCAGAGCAAAAGCCCCAGAAGCCATGACAAGGAAGCAGGTAGCACAAGTTCGGTGGCAGCGAGTATGGTCCAGCTCCAGAGCCTTTTTGAAAAATGCGCGTCCAGTCGGCGAAGTTGTCTCGAAAGCAAGGCCGCGTCGGCCGAAAACACACTGCCCGAACAGGGTTAAGGGTTTAGGGTTTAGGGTTTAGGGTTTAGGGTTTAGGGTTTAGAGTGATGAGTGCCCTTTTAGGCAAAGACGCAGGTTCCGTTGCCAGTGACTGCCTCAAATGTTAAGGGGGTTCCGCAACCGGATTGCGTGCATGCGTTTGATGCAAAGCACATGCGGGTGAACGTCCATGACCCTGGAAACATGAGCTGTGGGTTTAGGGTTTAGGGTTTAGGGTTTAGGGTTTAGGGTTTAGGGTTTCGGGTACCACCTTTGTGAAGAGGACAAGGGCACATGTTTTTTCATGATTGGGTTAAGCATGGAGCTCGCCAGATGCCACGGGCATTGCATGTCATGGTGCGTATGCGGACTTGGGGTCTTTGAAGCGTTGGGTTCAGTCCCGCTGCTTGGTGTCTACGTAAATCGGGTCTTCGTGCTGCAAGCTATCCCTCACGCATGTCAGCAGGAGCTGGAAGACTCTTTCTGTGGATCTTTTCGGACTCGCTCAGAGCTCCTCTCTCCCCCTCTCCCCCGCTCCCCCTCTCCCCCTCTCTCCCTCCCTCCCTTCTCTGTCTCCCTCTCTGTCTCACTCACCCATTCACTCACTCACTCTCTCTATCTCCCTCTCTCTCTCTCTCTCCCACTCACTCCCTCACTTTCTCCTTCTCCTTCTCCTTCTCCTTCTCCTTCTCCTTCTCCTTCTCCTTCTCCTTCTCCTTCTCCTTCTCCTCCTTCTCCTTCTCTCTCTCGCTCTCTCTCTCTCTCTCTCTCTCTCTCTCTCCATACCCCCTGACCTTCGTTTGCAAAAGGCATCTGCCTCGGCACCCTGCTTGGTCGCGGGGCCATTTTTGCGAGAGCGCTCAGACCTTACGGGATCCAAGATGCGATGCGAAAGTGTCAGGCATTTTTCATAATGTGCATCTACAGGGTTTAGGGTTTAGGATTTAGGGTTTCGGGTTTAAGGCTTAGGGTTTAGGGTTTAGGGTTCAGGCTTTAGGATGTTTCTCTCCGTTGAGGCCACCTTTCCAAAGCATGAGATGCGGTTGCATGCGAAGCTCGAAATTCAAGATTTCGGGGTACCCGCCTTGGGGGGTTCCTAGAAAGGTTCTCTCACTTTGGGGTAGTTTAGGGGGACCCCCCCCCTAATTTGGGAAATGCCCATTTGGTGCATGTTGTTGCCATGAGTGGTTCGCTTCGGGCCGTGCCCGCGTGTTGCACAGTTAGCCTCGCTTTGAATGATTGAAGAATATACCTTCCGTCCAACGCCAACAGTGTCCCGATGATGCTGAACAAAGAATGGGGGTGGGGCTCTTAAAAAGACACCTGCCCCAAGAAGGCGTTTCACAGTTTGCAGAGCTCATCTGCATGGGCTCTGTTTCACAATATGCAGTGTGAATTTGAGGACCACAGATTACGTAGTCCGTCGGCACACTTCAGAACAAAGTGCACAAGGTGCATGTACAAGGACCATTGATTGAACACCCTAAACCCTAAACCCTAAGCAATTTGGATTCGAAAGCGTAGTCAGACCTTGGGAGGTTGTCGGCATCCCAGCTCAAGATTATACTTGGAGGTTCGGGGTACTTATTAGCCAAATAGAACTGTACTCATACCCCACTCATCAGTCCCTTAAGGGGCCTAATATGGCTATAAGTACAGTGATAAAGTACAGTTGGTTAATAAGTACCATGAACCTCCGAGTAGTATCAGTACAACGCACCGTAGCGCGAGGAGAGAGGCGTAGCCATATTCTTCTTCCGATTTTGCAGGGATGGTACTTCTGCCGGGTGGGCCGCCATGCAATGTGGTGAACGCACCCAATCCCTAAACCCTAATCCCTAAACCCTAAGTGCGCGCCCTCAAGCCAGAAGCCCAACGCCCAAACCCCTAAATTCCCCTAAACAGACTGAATGTTTTCGCCGCGCTCGTCACTCTGCAGCTACAGCTGGCATCCATAAAGCACACCCCCTATGCCATGCTCACGACTGCTGCGACGACACGGAGCACATGGTGCAAGAAGCAGCTATCCTCAAACCGTCCTACTGGCCGCAAGACCTCTTTGAAGTGACTCACAGCATCGCTTTTTCGCGTGCTTTGCCTTAGGGCATGGATTCCAGTCACACCCTCATAAGCCTTAACCACAAGCAGTGCTGGCCTAGAGGTTAGTGCATGGTCTCACGCTCCTGGGCCGCCAGGGAGTTGGCCCCTTTGCTGTCTCCTGTTTCACTGGGACGCAGTCGCAGCGTCCCAGTGGCCGAAGGCAGGGATTTGAGTCGTTGAGGCCACAATTAGGGCTATTCTGTAACTAGGGTGCTTGGTAGCCCACTGGTACCCTTTGCCCCTTTTTTTTGGTTAAAATAGCCAGCCCCAAAAAGGGTGCCCTTATTATGACATGGTTGCTGGGTCTGATTCGTATGGTAATGTTAACGCGAGGCGACCCACCTCGTGCCGTTGGGCTTCCGCGCTTTGAGAGGCTTTGCCGTTTGAGAACCTCATGCCCCAAATGTGGGAGTGGCGAAACAAGCAAGGACAACTGGGCTTGGGGGGGGGGGGGGGGGCTTGGGCTTTGGGGGCGCGGGCGGTTTGGGGGAGGGGTTTGGGGGGCGGGGGGGGTCGAAGAGGTGGTTTGAGCCTGAATGCCCCTGGTCCTGATGCAACGTCGGCTCTCGGACACCTGGTACCTATATCCCCCTTGGGAATTAGTATTTTTTTTATATAAAGGTTCTAAGGGGAGTATAGGTACCATTCCAGGCAATAAAGAACCTGTCCTGGTTCTGTGGGGGTGGGGATTGCAGACACCCGCAGCCCGAGGCCTCGGCGGAGTTCTATGGTTCTTATCATGGTAACTTTTATGGTTAGCATTATTAGTTCATAATTTCATATTATGGTTACTATTATGGTTCACAAGGTCATATCATGGTTAGTATTATTATGGTTCATAAGTTCATTAATATTATGGTTACTATTATTATGGCTAATTTTTCGGTTGCTACTCAGGTTAGTATCACGGTTGTTATGACTCCTGCACTTGTGCAGACCCCAGTGCTCCAGATACGTCGCAGCTGCCAGCCTGCGTCCATCTCCGTCTGCTTTGCGTGGTAGCTCCCAAGAAGAGGGTTTAGGGTTTAGGGTTTAGGGTACTAATTTTGTTGCAGGCATGGCGCTTGCAAGCTCTGCGACGACTGCCTATGACGAGCACAAAAGGAGGTGGGAAGCCGTTGCTGTCAATTCAGAGGTCACTCGTAGCCCTGCAAAGTGCAATCACCAGGGGCCATTAGGCCCCACAATCCCCAGAATCAACCCTACACAAGGCCTTTTTTCAGGGGTGATGGGGTACAAGTTAACCCTAAACCCTAAACCCTAAACCCTAAACCCTAAACCCTAAACCCTAAACCCTAAAGCGCGGTAGAATAGCCCGTCCTGGTAAAGAGTTCGACACGACTACGTACCAGGCGATCCTCGAGGACGCCCCAGAGCGACCCTCTGATCGCATCCACGCCCAAAGGCCGCTGATCGCTGGTTTAGGGTTTAGGGTTTAGGGTTTATGCAGATGTGGGGGGTTTACGAAAATAGGGGACCCTTAACACAGACCGCACAGAGTAGGATTCCCTAAGAGTAAGGAATTCAAGAAGGTACCCCCAATTATTTCCAAACTCCCATGTCATACTCTCAAGGCATGTACTGTCCCTTCCTGTTTCATGGCATGAGCGTGCCTAAGCTACATACTTGTACTAGTCGAGTGAGCCGTCTACACTCTTCGAAACGTCAGGCGCCGATGGTGAAGAGGGCGATGTCGAGCTCTCATTGAACATGAGAAAGCAGCAGCGCCCCCGGTGACAGCATCAGGGTTTAGGGTTTAGGTTTTAGGGTTTAGGGTTTAGGGTTTAGGGTTCAGGGTTCAGGGTTTAGGGTTTAGGGTTTAGGCGCATGAGTGGATCGCCCAAATTGCGCTCAGCCATCTGATCGGAAGGCCGATAGGGGCTTGACAAGGAGGTTTCCGAACAAATTAGGGAAAGGGGGTTTATACCATATTAGAGTGTAGAAGGCCCTATGTTGCACAAGTACCCAAACCAGCGATGGGACCCATTGCGGGCTTTTTGGGTTCAGAGAGTGTTGTAAGAACCATTCGAAGCCCGCCATGAGAGGGTTGTTCTAAACCCCCCGCTCTTGACGTAGTACTACAGACGCGATTTATTCATAAGACCACTCTTGTAAAAGCCTTCCAAACATGGTGTGCGCGCAAGAACGCGCAAGGGCGGGCGCAAGTGCGCGCAGGGGGCATATTTAATATATCAATACAAATACAAAGCCATCTACATGAGAACATTTTGTAACATAGGATATTATGCAAAAACTGGTGTGCGCGCAAGAAGTGCGCAAGCGCGCGCAAGGGCGGGCGCAAGGGGTATTTTTACGTAACTCGTATGAACAAGAATATCGGTCAATGAGACTCTAAACAACTAAACTCAAAGCCCCTACACCCGAAACAGTTGTAAAGTCTAAACAAGCCAAACCCACAACCCTAAACCCCTTTCCCTCGGTCCTTTCGGCCTTTGGGGGTGAGGGTTGTTGCTTAGTTTCTGGGTTTTCAGGCTGGGTTTAGGCTTGTTTTTTAATGTTTAGGGTTTAGCGTTCAGGGTTTGAGGGTCAATTAGAGCTGTTTTGGGTTTAGATTGAAGTTGTTGCTGCAGGCGTTGGGCTTTGAACAAGGGTGACAAGCCCATGTAGAGTTTCGGGGCTGTTTCCTGGCAGCCCGTTTGAGGGCTCTTGTAAATGTTCATGTTTGCTGGATGAGAGTCCGCAGGCTGTAGGATTTTGGACGTAGGAGTTGGGTTCAGCCGTTCGCAGGGTATGAGGTGCTGGAGGTTTAGGATTGCGGAGGGGCCTACAGTCTAAACCCTAACCTCTGGATCCAATTTCCCCCCCGCGAACCAACATGCTGAGTGCCGCCCGTGATCTCAAACTGCCAGACTGTCCGTCTAAAACCCCAAACCTCAAATGCTGAACCTCGAGCCCAAAACCCTAAGTCCCTGAATCGAAAGGGGGGGAGCCTTCTGCATCTTGGGGGGACGTGCTGATGTTCATGATGTGACCTCCCTTGACCCGCTGACAAGCTCTGCCCACCAAGGTTTGCGCAACAACATGACAAGAAAGGGGTCACCTACGAGGCCGCTCCTGCCCTTGTGCTCAAAAGGAAAGTCCCCGGAAGTGACGGGTGTTCGGCTAGTGACCCTTCTCCGGGCAAAAGCCCGCATGCCTTCGAGTGTACCGAGGCCCTAGCCTTAGAACGGACCCTAAACCCTAAAAGCCACTAAAACAAGGCCCTCACCAGAACGACTGCTGGGGTCGTCCTAAACTTTCCTAAGTCAACTGCATCTTTGACTTTGAATCTTGCAAAGCTCGACCTACTGTACCAAGGTCGAACCAGGCAGCCGACTGCCTTAGATCAACATTCCAATCCATTGAAGAACATTGTTGGGGCATTGTTTCGAAAATGTGATGGATATGTGGCGCGGGGTGGGTGTGGGTTCTTTAGGGGTTGTTCTTTAGGGGTTATTTAGGGGCTACATAGGTAACAGACAAGATGAAGGGTCCCTTCTAGGGGTCCTCCGTATAGCCCTTAAATGTGTGCTTGGATGCACATGTTCAGTCTTTCACCCTTCGCAGGGCGGTTATCGAGCTCGAAGTCGAATTCTGGACGATTCCTCAGAGGACAACGAGTTTCGTACAGGGTTTAGGGTTTAGGGTTTAGGGTTTAGAGTTTAGGGTTTCGGGTTTAGGGTTTAGGGCTAGGGTTTAGGGTTCACTGCGACGATGTGTAGATGTGCTGTGCTGACAGGTCTTGGCAAAAATCCCGGACAAGTTGTAGACCATGAGCCGGAGAAATGCGCCTTTAGTGCAGTAGAATGTGGTGCAAAAAAGTAGGATACCTGATGGAGTCCAGTATAAAACCCTAGTGTTTGAGCCCACATTCAGAATGAACTTCATGTGCCACGAGCCCTTCGCAGGATGAAGAGGACAGGACACCCAGGCTCGTTTAGGGTTTAGGGTTTAGGGTTTGGCCATTTGGGTTTAGGGTTTAGGGTTTAGAGTTTAGGCTTGTTTGGTGTATGGAATGCAGGCGACGGCCGGAAGTAATCGATTCTGATGCTGGGCCCTGTTCCCTCGATCCCCAGCCCCAACCCCTAAACCCAAAATGCAGGGTTTAGGGTTTAGGGTTCAGGGTTTAGGGCTTAGGGTTTAGGGCATTCTCATGACATTCTGCGCAGGGCCTACGACCTGGCCCTCTACGACTCTGACTCGGGATTGCAGCACACACCTCCATCTGGAGCACTGCCTGCATGAAGTCAGCACTCACGGGAGTCAGACTCGTACCTTTCAGGTGGTACCCCTACAGTTCCCCTTAAGATACTCTGAATGCGGCCCTTATATCCCCTTAGGGATCCTTAAAAAGGAAGCCCCGAAGCCTAAGCCTTAAGGGTACAACCTTTATATTCCCTTTAAAGGATCTTTAAAAATGGAAGCCCCGAAGCCGAAGCCTTAAGGGTACAACCTTTATGTCCCCTTTAAAGGATCCTTAAAAAGGAGCCCCGAAGCCCAAGGGCACAACCTTTAGGGTCCAAGGTAGAACCCCTAGAATGCACGGGCCCAAGTCGTCCAAGATAGGCAGTCTGTGGCCGGGGGGACTTCGTGGAGCAGATTTCCAGTAGCTGTTCCCAGAAAGCCCGGTACCCCTTGTTACCCCCTAAACCCTAAACCCGAAACCCGAAACCCTCAACCCTCAACCCTCAACCCTCAACCCTCAACCCTCAACCCTCAACCCTCAACCCTCAACTAAACCCTAAACCCTATTCCTTATTTCGGGGCCTGAGCTTCCTTCGGCAATGAGAACCGAGTTCTGAACTCTTCAGAAGCAGTGTGCTGTAACCTGACACCCGAACTGCACAGTGCCCAAGTCTTTGAATTGACTCTCCAATCCCTCAGGTAAACCCTAAACCCCCCCAAGCCCTAAACCCTAAACCTAGTAGTCCTCAGACTCTTGCCTGCATCATCAAGGAACCCTGTCGTCATGCAGGTGGGCTATCAGGACTCGGGGTCTGGGTTTTTGGAGGGGCTGGGGTTCTAAGGAGTCTTCCGCGATGGGCGTAGCAGTAGCATGCTGGAACTTCTTGCAGAGCCGTGATCTGGCGAACTGCCTGATCCAGGGTTTAGGGTTTAGGGTTTAGGATTTAGGATTTAGGGTTTAGGGTTTAGCGTTTAGGGTTTAGGGAGAGCAGCAAGACACATGACTAAGATTTTGGCTTGGTTTGGCTGCGCCAGCTGTGGCAGGACTCTGATCTCTAGGCTAGTTGCAGGTAGCCGGCCAACCTGTACAGGGCTTGTGCCATTCCTGAGACACTTGTGCCTCCTTGCCTCCCGTCTGGTACGACTGGGTGCCGCAGGCTCAAAGGCGAACTGCCTTACTTATGACATGGAACAAATGTGGGCCAGTAGATGCGTGTGAACTTCAGAGCTAGTCTACGAAGAACCTGATATCTTGCAGTGGGCTTCCAAATCCTTGGCGTGGTTGTGGAGCAATGAAGGGATCTGCTGCCGTCCTCATTTGCGCAGCTGTGCCCAGGATGCGTTATAGTTGTGCTGGGCTCTGGAGCCCTACCTCTTGGCTGCGGTTCAGTTTATCACTGCTACTAGTGCTGCTACTGCTTTCTGCTGCTACTGCTGAGCGGAGTAGTAGGAGTAGTAGGAGTAGTAGTAGTAGGAGTAGGAGGAGTTGGAGGAGTAGGAGGAGTAGGAGTAGTAGTAGTAGTAGTCGTCGTCGTCGTCGTCGTCATAGTAGAAGTCGTAGTAGAAGTCGCTGTAGAAGTAGAAGTAGAAGTAGAAGTAGAAGTTGCAATAGAAGTAAAAGTAGAAGTAGAATAGAAGTAACAGTAGAAGTAGAAGTGAAAGTGGAAGTGGAAGTAGAAGGTGAAGTAGAAGTAGAAGTACGACGACGACGACGACTACTACTACTCCTACTCCTGCTACTGCTACTGCTACTACTACTACTACTACTACTACTACTACTGCTGCTACTACTACTACTACGACTACTACTACTACTACTACTACTACTACTACTACTACTACTACTACTACTACTACTACTACTACTACTACTACTACTACTACTACTACTACTACTACTACTACTACTACTACTACTACTACTACTACTACTACTACTACTACTACTACTACTATTACGACTACGACTACGACTACTACTACTACTACTACTACTACTACTACTACTACTACTGACACTACCACTCCCACTCCCACTACCACTACAACTACTATTCTTCTCAGCTTTGCTATTTTTTGGTCGCCCAGGTGTTGAGCACTTCCCTCACGGTCGCCGATGCGACTTGGCTATGTTCTGCCCCTGAAATTCTCAGACTTCTCCGCGGGATTCAGGGCTTAGGGTTTAGAGTATCGCGAAGTTTGGGGTGGACAGCTGCAGCTTGCTGTCGAGTGCTTTGAGGCGGCTTTACCTGATCTACTGTATCCTGCTCCCAGCCGTCTCCCGCAGGACTTTTTGCAGGCGAGGGGGACTCCACATTCATTTCGTGACGCTTGCCGGCATTCCTCTACTTTGCTCTGCTGCTCCAGGTACTTAACATAAGTCAGGCTACTTCCTGCATACTAGACAGCGGAAAGAGATTGGATTCGAAGTTCTGAAGTTTGTGCACTTCGTTTGGATATTCCGAGGCAGAAGTGGAAGCATCTCTCGAGCAATTGAGGAGGATGCTGGACGAGGCGATTTCCCCACCACCCTACGCCCCAACATCCTATAGGGCCTATAGGGCTTAAGGTCTTAAATCCCCATAATCATACACCCCAAAAAACAAACTAGTAACGCGAGCTTTGCTTGATCCGCTTTGAAGGTGGATGTTTCGCATTTGCGCAGGAGAGACACCCTCAGTATCCTGCAGATGTCGCGCATACCTACGAGGACATGCTTCCGGTTTAAGGCTTCAGGCTTGCGAGCTCCTTTTTTGAGGTGCTGGAGCCACCAAGTCCTCAGTTTCCCTAAACCCTACGCCCTGACACCCGCAACCTCAAGCACGCCTCCCAACCTCAAATCCATGAAGCCGATTCACAGCTTGCGCCTCCACGACCATCGCCTCATTTTCCCGGAAGCTCGCGCAGACCCAATCTTACCCTAAAGCCCTAAACCCTTGACCCTGAACCCTAAACCCTAAACCCTAAACCCTAAACCCTAAACCCCAATGCCTAAAGAAGCTCCCAACGCCCCCAAGCCTGCCTTGACGGCTCCACAGCCGGTTTGCGGAAGGACAAGTACCTGCTGGGCCCTCAGTCTCCTAAAACTCTCTGCAAAGGGTTTAGGGTTTAGGGTTGCTTAAGAAACCCCAAAAAACTCAAAAGATAGTAATCTCTTTCTTGCCCTTATAAGGAAGAATATGTTTTTTTTCCAATGTGGGGTCTTAAGCAAGTAGTAGGAAAGCGAGTGCTTGCTAAGCCCGATTGATTGAATGAAGGGTGGATCGGCAGCGGACGAAATTGACTCGTTCTGACTCGTTCCTTGCTTGGATTTGCAGTGAGTGCTTGGCCGGTTGACCAGCTGTCATGAACTTTTGTTTTTTTTTTTTGGGGGGGGGAGGGGGGGGGGGGCTTTCATGTGGGGTTTCCGAAATTAGGGGTATCTTTTTGGACTAATTGGACGTCTATATTGGGAGTCCCCCATTTCGTAAAAGCATGCAGCATGAACAAGTCCATAAGCATCTGCACTGACTAAACATTCACGACTCGCCCAAACCCCAAAGGCCCTTTGACATTGCTTAGAGGCTCTCCGAGTTGGCAACGAAGGGGGCAAGTGCCGGGCTGGCGACGGGCTGAGTGGGTCGAGGGGGTTAGGGTTTTGCGCTTGAGGGTTCGCCCAGTGGAATGATGTGTCATTGTCATGGTCATTGTTACAATGCTGGGGGAATTGAATGACGAGATTTGTCAGAATCAGTCTTGCGAAGGCGTTCAGTGCTTGGGCGTAGGAATGCAGACAGAATCCTTCAACAGATGACATGTCAGTTACGGCATATATCCATCAAGGTCCACTCTACGCACGGTGCTACCTGAAAGACTGGCACATCTAGAGCTAGCTAGCACATTGCAGCGCAAGCAGTGTCTTTCATATCCTCTATCAAGAGTTCTCCGTGAAGCCACCTCGACAACCATGGCTTTCGTGCAATCGCGTCTGCCGCGTTTGCCGCCGGTGTTCCTCCAGCTCGATGACAGGTCCCCTTCCCAGCGGGTTCTCCGCCGCTCGGAATCCTTCTCCGGCTACATACCCTTCGAGCTCAGCGACAACCTGGAGCGTGGCCCGAACCCCGTGTCCGACCCTGTCGAAGACCCTGTCGAAGACCCTGTCGAAGACCCTGTCGAAGACTCTGTCGAAGACTCTGCCGAAGATTCTGCCGAAGGTTCTGTCGAAGATTCTGAGACCGAGAGCGTGGACGGTTTTTGGCCAGAATGCACAGTTGCAGACGTTGCAGACCCACCTGCGACTTGGCCAGATACCGACACCGACGACATCGACGAGGACGCCGATGGAGAGGTACACTCCGCCTCGACCAACTTCGGTGTGTATGCCGAGTGGAGCGAGAGCTGCAAAGACCACGCCCCTTTGGGCAGCCTCTTGCTGATACCAATGGACCCATGGGTGACCGAAAGCTGCATCGATGAGATGACGGGGGGAGATCCGGATCCCAACTTGAAAGTCACGGTGGACTTGGCAAGCGCGCTTCCGGCGCCATGGGAGCAAAAGGCACCCCGAGCACCCCAACCAGCACTGAGCATGGAGGACCGCGGCAGCGCCACATCGAGCACGTCGACTCAAGCGATGGAAGCCCAGCATCTTGGTAGCTCAGTGGTACCCTTTTTCCTTGTTTTTTGTTTGGGGTTCAGGGTTCCCTTGGAAAACAGCCAGCCAAAAAAGGGCGCCCTTATTTATAATATGGTGACTGGGGTACCAAGGCATAGTGACGCTGTTGAGCAAGTGAACTGGACACCCTCCCAGCCAGCAGAGCCAAGCATGAAATCGGAGTCGAGGCATGTGATGAAAGCCCAGCGTGCTGGTGCCCTTGTCTTGCAACGAGCCCGAGCCTTGATGCAGAGGGCTTAGGGTTTAAAAGGGTTTACAGGATTTATAGGGTTTTTATAGGGTTTTTTATAGGGTTTTTTTATAGGGTTTTTGTAGGGTTTTTATGGGTTTTTATGGGGTTTATAGGGTTTATAGGGTGTAGGGTTTAGGGACCACTGAGGACCGTGTTGAGGCTAATTCACTCAGGGGCTGTTGGCGAGGTTCCCGCTGGGCGGAGAGGGCCTACCCAACTGCTCAGCTACTAATTTGCTTAAGAACCCCAACAAAAACAAAGAATATTCTTCCTCATCAAGGGTAATATAGGGATTACTACTTTTTATTCTTTTCGGGTTCTTAAGCAAGTAGTAGCCAGTGCTTCGGCAGAACCCGAAGAATGTCGTGAAGCACAGCGTGCTGCTGAAGAGATTCGCAGAACTCTCTGCAGCACAACTCGTTCCGATACAGCAGCTGCACCCCTCAACCAATTGCTGCTCCACTAATTCGATGAGACTCCCCCCCGGGAGCCTCAGTAGATTGCAGAGTGGGGTCGCTGGATCAGTGGGAGCAGAGCTTCGATTCTATTGCTGGGCTACCACTACCCGAAACCCCATGGCATCCCCTCCCCCCCCTAAACCCTAAACCCTTAACCCTTAACCCTTAAACCTTAAACTCTGAGCCCGAAGCCCCCCGTACCCCCCCGCACTCTGTGGTGTGCGGGTGTGTTGAGTGGGTTGGTTTTGAGGGTTTAGGGTTTTTGGGCCTCTGGCGGCCTCAGGGCTTGTGGGGAGTAGGCCTTAAGGTTAAGGTTTAGAGTTTTGGGGCTTTGGGTTGTAAGGCTTTGGGTTTTACTTGTAGGGCTTTGGGTTTCGGGGTTTTAGGGTTTAGGCTTGCAGGGGTTTAGGGCTTCCGGTGTAGGTGGGGAGGAGGGAGGGGGGGGC